TTTAATATTTTGCTTACAAAAGAATTAAATGGGGTCTTAGATTTCACAACAAGAGCTTAGCAATTTGGACTGTGTAATTAGATCATTTTATCTTCGGACAAAATTGTTTAGTTTTCCTATACACGGGAATATATGATAAGTGTCACAGACACTGAATCACTACAACAAAAATATTCTAACAGTTGCACATACGAAAATACGAGATTGAATCGAAAAGAAGGATCTCTTGTCAGACATTGTAACAGATCCCAGTCATGTAAGAGACCGTATGGGCTGTTCAACACCTGTCTTCATATATTATTTCGCGAGTGTAACCCTATTGATTTTAGTATTTTGCTTGATATTAGTCACCGTAAAACTCGCCATCTTGAACCAACACTCAGCCGGATTGGAAACGCTCTTTCCACACAAAATTGGTTGTTTGACTTAAAGAATATTCGCCTAAGACAAAGAAGCGTCAGGTTAGCAAAGTCCGAATTACTGTTTATAAACAACAAAACTTCGACGATCTTTCTTAGTGGCTGAATGGTTAACAGCTCATCAGGTTAAATGAAGGTTCTCATTGAGGTTACAGGTTCGATTTCTGTCGAGGAAGCACATATTTGTTACGAAATTTCTCGAACACTCAGGACGGTAAATGTAATTAATACTCTTTATTTAAAAAAAACGGAGCATTTACTTAAATAAATTGTATCTATTAAAACATAAACAGTACATATATTTTTATCATATAAAAAATGTTCATTATTTCTTTGATAGACATACATACATACACACACACACACACACACACACACACATATATATATATAGAGAGAGAGAGAGCGAGTGAGGGAGTGTTAGTTAACGTGTTTTTCAATCTATTATCCCTTACTATTCTAAACGTTATATTTGTTGGGTTGATTATTTTCAGTAAAAATACGACTTTCGATGTTTAGGCCGGTAGATATTAATTTCACTTTTATAAAATGAGGATATTTTCTCAAATACTTGTACGAATAAAATATGATGTTTGTCCCAGTGATGTGTGTGTGCGTATGTTTGCGTGTATGTTTCAGTAACACTGTAATCATATGATAAACTTACATATCAAACAAATGCCAACTTACAGTTGTATATGAAAAATTAACTTACTGGGCGTTGAATTCAATCCTAAACTTCGCTTATATTCGTCCTTGATTTTTTATTTATTTATATTGTTATTCCTGAAACACGATTCTTTGGAAGGTGGAAAATTTCTCAGATTCTGTTATAACGCCAATTAGGCCCGTTAGATTTACGATATTTTTTTTAAGAGTGTCCCATTTGTTAAAACAAACTTACCACAATCATTTAAATTCACTGATTCTGTTAAACGACCTTTTTTTAGAGTATCTCTGTCCCATTTGTTAAAACAAACTTAGCTCAATCATTTAAAGAAAAATCATTTAAAAGAGCAAAAAGAGCTTAATTAATCAAAGGTGTGCTCTTAATAAACTCGGTAGAGTTGGAAAATTTCCTAAAATAATTGTTAACCCTTTCTATTAGAGAATTAAGATTATGCATTGTACTCCTGTTCTAAAGCAGTGATTAAAACGCTTCTTTGATATACGTCTATGTGCTGCAGCTATTGTACCCATGTGCCAACATTTAGTCAATAAACCTTTGACCGCTGAAGATTGCTGGTATAGTAATTTTGGTGCTTACAAGATACCGCTAATATTATATCTCCTTTAGCAAGTCTAATCATATCAAGTGTCTAAACGTAAACAACTGTGAAATTAAACTGTTCTTATGATGTACCTGCGAACTCTGCAATTCTTTCTTCTGTCGATTTCCACCTCGCACTGTGCTCTTTCACTGTTCCCAAGAGTTCCGACCAATTCAACAATTTACTGCTTTAATTACCCCCCCTAAATTAAACATTTTTATTGCTACCAAATCTGTGGCTTTGCTCAGTCCTCACTGTCCAGCCTTGACATAGTCTAAAAGCGATCACGCAGCTTGTTCTGTCCCCCGAGAGTACGCGTTCGTCTCATATGCGTGCGTAGTCTCGACGACAGCCAAATAAACGTTTTAAGGCAATTAAAACTCTGAAGAAGACAAAGTCCCCTACATCGTCAGGTCTATTAAGAACTAAAAGTCTAAAACTAGAAAAATAAATAAACACATATAAATAAGACGAGTTAGTCTGAAAATACAAATAAACAAGGGTAACGAGACATACACTCCTGATCAAAAATTTAATACCACTTGAAAATTTTTATAAGAGACTGTTTTTCATGGATACATTATAAACTTTTTCTTACTTAAGTTTACTAATTCTATAATCTAAAAGGTTATATAGACAAAAGGTTATAATCCGATCAATTTATTCAGAAATGGGCATTTTGATAAAATGAAGCGTTTTACATTTGATCAAAATTATAAGACCATAGGGTATAAATTGTTAGATCTGGGGTAATTCCAATGTTTTTAGTTCAAAGATTAGCAATCACCGCGTAAAGGTGTCACCATGTCTAAAGCAAGCAAACTTACCTAAGTTGGACGTGCTCGAATTCTAGATTTCCATAATCAAGGTTTGTCACAGCGGGCGATCGCAGCTAAGGTAAATCGCAGTAAAACTGTGATTTGCAACTTTCTAAAGGACAGTGCGAATTATGGAAACGCAAAGTCTACTCGTAGGCCCAAAAGAATTTCTCTGGCATTGAGTAGGAGAATAAGACGGGTTGTTGTGAAAGCCAGTGAACTTTCTTTTAGTCAAATTAAGGCAGCCACAGATGCTGATTGCAGTCCAGTAACCATCAGACGACACTTACGACAAAAAGGCATGTTAAATAAAAAGCGCAAACAAATTCCTCGGTTACTTCCACGTCACAAAGTGAACCGTTTAAGGTTTGGTCGTGAATACCAAACATGGGACATTAAGAAGTGGAAGAAAGTCCTGTTTTCTGATGAGAAAAAATTCAATCTAGATCGTCCTGATGGCTTCCAACGATATTGGTATAACAAAAACATGCCTCCTGAAATTTCTCCACACGCCATAATGGTGGAGGGTCCCTAATGGTACGGGGGTGCCTTTTCTTACAGAGGGACGATAGAGCTCCAGGTGGTGCAGGGTCGTCAGACAGCGGCTGGTTATGCTAGCATGTCACAAAAAGCATCGTTGGTGACGGAGGCCCATCATTTGTGTGGAGATGGATGGTTATTCCAACAGGATAATGCTGCAATCCACACTGCATGCCGGACCTTGACCTTTCTACAAGAAAATGGGGTCCATCTTTTGAGACATCCTGCATGCTCACCGGACTTGAACCCAATTGAAAATGTTTGGGGATCGATGGCAAGAAATGTTTATCGAAATGGCAAACAATATTCAACAAAAAATGAACTTCGTGAAGCTATCTTCAGAAGCTGGAGCAATATTCCTCGCAGTTTAACGGAAACACTAATTTTTAGCATGCCCCAAAGAATTTTTGAAGTCATCAAAACCAGTGGAGGTAGAACTCATTATTAAATTTGGTCGTTGAATGTTTTCGTACATTTCGTTGAATTTTTATCTCTGGTCTTATAATTTTGATCAAGTGTAAAACGCCTCATTTTATAAAAATGTCAATTTCTCAATAAAATGTTCGGAATATAACTTTTTATCTACATAACCTTTTAGCTTATAAAATTAGTAACCTTAAGTAAGAAATGTTTAAAATTTTTCCATGAAAAACAATCTTTTTAAAAAGATTTTCAAGTGGTTTTAAATTTTTGATCAGCAGTCGGAGTCTTGAACATAAAACTAAGACCATTTATCTAAAAGAGTAAAGAAATGCAGTGAATACTTCGTTTACATGAATATATATAAAGTTTGCTACAGAAGTACATTTCAATGTTATGCTGAGTTCGCAGAAGAGGAAGTTACAAGTGTATGTGGACAGTGGACACGTGTTGAAAGGATTCTACACGAAGAGATAGAAACGTAAAATAAACGTATTAAATATGGCTACATAAAATAAATGTCCAAATAATGACGTGATTATAAAATAGGCAAATATAGAGAGAAAAGTTCATAAAAGTTACGAACCGGAGATGGTAACATTGATCGTGAGCTTAGAGTAATGAAACTACCGACCACGTAGTTGGTGTAAAGCCTTTATTGTGTAAAGTTCCAGTTATTGGCTGACCGGAAGTGGTCAAAACGGTGACAATCTAAAAGGTAACTAAACTAAAAAAAGGGACAAACAAAGGGGAAGTAAAACAATACAGTTTATATACTGTGGTAACAGAACACCGCCTTGCGGGTGATGGATTAGTTACCAACCTGCAGCCCTTTTCCCACAGACGAAACATTGCTTGCCTCTCACTAATCTATCGCTACCGCTACCACAAAGCTACATTCCTTAGTTCTACCAATTCAGCTTCACAGCTAGGAACCGCCATAACACATACACAACATCATTCCGTTCGTATTCATTTTGGTAGGTAGGAAATTCCACTTAGACAGCTTTTCTTCCCTAGAACTGTAACTTTGTGGAACAGACTGCTGAGAGATTGCTTCCCTTGGCAGTACAAAACCTCTTTAAGACTACTATCAACTTATATCTATCCTACATATTTTTATAATATACACTTCTTCATTTATGCCCTTATAACAATCTCATTCAGTGACACTATACCTTGAGTGGTTCTTGGGTTTTGTATTTGGCTGAACAATAAGGAAAAATGATGCGAATTGCCTGGATGTTATTTACTTTGCACTATTTATATCTTTTTATCTTTAAACAAATTGCTAAGAAATGTTTACATATTATAATCAAAATACCTTATTCCTTTGCTATTCTCTTTTCGCCATTCTTGTATATATGGGATTATATTTTTGTTGCTTTTAGTCTATTCTTCATATCAAAGGAAAATGATTTAGTCTACCCTGCATGAACTTCAAATGAAGTCTGAATGTCTAGACTGATAGTCTTTTATATTCTCGATACTTCAATCCGGTCGACTTCTATGTGTTCATCCGTTAAAAGGGCTTGCGGCCGCATCACATTGAAACACCGCTTACCGTAGTATCACTGAAGTTAAGCAACGTCAAGCCTGGTCAGTACCTAGATGGGTGACCAATTGGGAATACCAGGTGCTGTAAGCTTGGATGTGCAGGTGGTGTAATAGATAACGGCTCGGAATTTCTAATCAAAGAGCCGAGTTCCAGTTCCATTGGGGTTCGTTATATTCTCTTACGTGCAAATATCCTTGGGAAAGATATAACTCCACCTCTTCTACCAAAACTATGGGTTAAATAGTAAAACGCAACAATCATTATTATATCAAAAAAATTCTTAAAATCTAAAAATGTTTTCTGAGTTTTTAATTACCTGCAAAGGGTTGATAATCCGTAAAAACGAATCATTCAATCAATAAACAAGGCAAAAACGCTAATATGAGAATGCCATATGTTATAATCAGAGCAATGATATTTCTGCCGGGAGACTTAATGTCTTTTCTAAGAACTGCCGACGCCATGATTCTTAAATAACTGTTATTTCTGGCGTCCGAAATACAAACAGTATCCGTTCGGTTACAGTCGGACGGTTAGAAGATTTCCGGAACAAAAGATATCAATATTGTTATTCCCGTGGGTCTCTTAATTTCCGTCTGATTTAAAGGTAGATGTAAGAGGAAGCTCAGAAGAGATACAACTATATTGTAATTCGGTTAGGAAAATATGTATTGCGGCAAGAAACAGATCCAAAACGAAAACATGATTGCAAGACTGATGCAAACCTAAAGAAAAAGACAAAAATCTATTCTGAAACAAAAATGCTTCCTGTTTTGCTATGTAGCTTTTGCACACATTGTCCGCCCCCGGCGATTTTAAAGTCCGAAATTTAAATATTGTTCGTATTACTCCTTAAAAGTCTAGAACAAGTATCCTCACTATTATTGTTTTAATAGCTACATTTCTGTTTATGCTCATCGGCGTCCCTATTATTTCTTAAATTCTTTGCTGTCATTATTCAATGAATTGTTTATCCTCATCTTTGTTGTTTCAGTCACTGCTTTTTACGTCAATAGTTTTTCTTATTCTGGTTTGAAAATGTTATTAATCATGAATTACTCTAACTGGATATTATCAACTTTATCCTTTTGATCACAACCTACTTAGTAATTCTTCCATTTGCACGAATTACAGCTTCAACTCATTGTAGGATATAGACCAAAGCTTTGGGTAGGCTAATCTCGTAACACTACAATATCTTTATCAGTGAGAAAAGTGTTTACTACACGCAGTGTTCATATCATGTTGGTATATTTCACTTCATGCTATGTCTTGTGGGACCTTAGCAAATTAATGTAGTTTTCGTTGTCCAATATTCCATCGATTATTATCAACCATTTTTTTGCATATTTCCTTTTGATGTATCCCTAAACAATTAAACTCCAACCAATGGATTTTATATACTTTGTTGTATATCTTGAACTGTTTCTTGTGTCGACTGGTCTCCGTACATAATCTTTTGACTTAGAATACAGTTCTGTTTTGCATAACATTATGTTAGCAACGTTTAATAAGGATACGAGTCTAACTCTTTCCTACGTAAAATTATTGTTTATTCACTTTTGGTCCCCTACAAATTAACGTCGGCCGTGAAGGCATTTGGCTTTTCAGGGTCTCCGAACGATCTCCTTTTCGCAAGGGAGTGACGGACACTCCCCTCCCCACACGCGGCTCGGTTTTTATATAACTTCCACCATCATAACTTTATCTGGGTTATACTGACGTAGATGCTGAAATATTTGGAGGCTGATTCTACACTTCGTGACTATGAGGTTACTTTCAAAGTCAAACCTCTGAATCGCGTTTTTATCTTCTGGTGTGACACCGAGTAAATTTGTATTACTTGGCATGCGTCTAACATATTTTGGGGACACCACAGATAAATTCCTCTTAGATAAGATTTTCCTGACATTAAAGTTGATTCAGACTTTTGATATTTGCTGGCATGAATCACATACTACACCTGTTTTATTACTAAGTTGCCTATTTTTATTAACCCACGCCTGATATTTTTTGACCGATAAGATTCTTTTTTTGTTTTTGTTTTTGTTTTTTGTTCCTTATTTTTTAACGCAATCTTTCCCATTTAGGTTGGCTTACGTCCATATCACATTGATCCATCTGTTCTCGTACGATGATCAAAGTTAAGCAACGCCGAACATAATCAGTACTTAGGTGGGAGGCCGTTTGGGAATACTAAGAGCTGTAAGTTGGATGTGCGCGTGGTGTAATGAACAACGGCTCTGAATTGGAGAATTGGAGACCAGTCGGATCAGTTATAGTCACTTACGCGCAAATACCATTAGGAAAGGTATGAATCAACCACTTCTCCTCCCCTCTATGGGTTAATTAGTAGGACGTCTATCAGTAAATCATTATTATTTTCAAAAATTCTGAGGATCTAAAATATTTTCTGGCTTTGAATAACCGGCAAAAGTTTGAGAAGCCATGAAAACCAAATCAATCACTCAAAAACTCATTAAAATTATATATATCCTTATTTTATGAGGAAATACTTTTATTTGACTAATGATATCCTAATTAGTTTTCTTAAATTTCTTCTGTCTTATTTCAAAGGTCAGCCAGTCTTTTTTCTTGCTCCAAATATTAGCATCCTTCTTCTGGTTGACTTGGATAATGCGACTCCAAGCCCCTAGATATTTAACAATTTCTGACATTTCAATGATCTCTTTTCCAAACTCATTTATCACAGAAAGAATTTTCAGCTTCACTAAAAAGATAAATCAAGTTAAAGACTCCAAAGTTTATGCAAATTATTTGGTTCATTTAACATTTGCATATGTACCTTTATCTGTGAAGGCGTTCACCATAGAATGAGGTGCATATGGCCTATAACTTACCATGGAGTGAGGTGAACATAGTGTATAACTTACCATGGAGTGAGGTGCGTATGACGTAAAACTTACCATGGAGTGAGGTGAACATGGAGAATAACTTACCATGGTGTTAGGTGCATATGGCGTATAACTTACCATGGAGTGAGGTGAACAAGGCGTATAACTTAACATAGTGGGGTGTATATGGCGTATCACTTAACATAGAGTGAGGTGTATATGGCATGTTCTATTTTCGCCTTTATCTTGCATTCTGATCTGTATCTTCTCCTCCTACTGTGAGTGCAACAATTTGCTCTACAGTCCGAATGACCACAGATACTATTCCTTAAGCACATCCTCAAATACATACAGCTTCTTAGTAAAAATGAAACAATTTTTAACCAGCTAGAAGGTTCATTGTATTTCAATCTTGGTTCACATATTTATATCACCTGCTTCTGTTTATCATGTGACACAATTTGCGTGTCTCGGTTCATTAGGACTCTGACGTAGTCAAGTGGACTATAACGGATTTTATCCTAGCCTAGAACGAGAGGCTGGTTTATTTACTACCGGCTAAGACGACAGTAAAATCGAGATGGGATAGTTTCAAAGCAACCCTCCCCTGTCCTGAAGTAACAAAAAGCAAACTTTCGCGATCACGTTCCACTCAGCTGGAAGGTGCTTATAGAGGTAAGTACTCTCGGAGCAGTCATCAGTCAGATTCACAGTTAAAATAAGAAGAGTTATAGAGCCAAACCGAGTAAATGGAGTTCTTGCTGGCCGAAAGGAAGATCTAGCACGTTAGTCTGTCGTGAGTGAAGGCAGGAGCAGCAGCGAAGATGTCCAAAATTTCACTTACCTACCCACAAACAATGTCAGGTCAACAGAAAAAAAATCCTGTTTATCGAAACCAACAGACTTCTTGCCTTTCTCAACCAAAGTTTATAATGAGATCTCCCTGTGAGATTTTTTTACCTTCAGTTACTTTGTTGAACGTACACCGAACCTTTCACACTGAAATAAGCGGGAATTGACACAATAGCGTGTAGTAGAAGCTAACATGTCTGTGAAAAACTGACCAAAGTACTTGGGCGTATGTTTACAATAAAATATTTGTTAATGTATAATTATACAACCGCCATGACACAAAGTTTTATTTTCTTTTAGTAAAATAACGCTTCAAGTCATAAAGTTGTAAGGCAGAAATGTGGAAAGAGTATAAATGTTGAGACTGAAACATATTTAATACCGGTGTTTTATTCCGGTTCTTTGCCTGACATATTTAATAATGATGGTCATTTAAAAAAAATGGCGAGATAGAATAGGAAAAAATTGACTGTTTAATAATAATTAAATAAAATCAAAGACCTATTAATTTTGCAAGTAGATAGTTTTGTTAGTTGCTTTTTTTTTTTTTTTTTTTTTTTACAATGACGTTCACCCCGTACACGTGCCAAGAATCACTCGAAGTAGAGGGTTACAAAGTAAGAGCTACCAGCCCAAGCCATGAAATAATACCACCAATACCCAAGGGGAGACCGGAAGTGAAAGAGAAGTAACCGGAAACCCAATCCTAAACAAGAAACAAAAGATAAACGCCTACTCTTGTTCAAAAGACCAGGGAGAGGCGTGAACAAGACGATAGACCAACTGATCTATACCTATTGAGAAAAGAAAATTAAATCAATAGTAAATAAAATTTCAGAGTTTTATGAGATGTTAGAAGTATACAGTTGAAGATGACATTAGAAGGAAACCTGAAAACTCAATCTTAAACAGAAAACCAGGAATAAACTTCTATTCCTGTTCAATAAACCAGGAAGGGGTGTATAATTCTTTTCAGTCAAACGATGAATTTTGAAAATTTTCAATCACTTATTTAATATATTTTTCGGATTTTTGTTTTTGTAGCAATTTTTCATCGATATAATATTCTATTTCCTTCTCTCTGTTGTATCTAGGTTTTGAAATTCGCTCGCTACTTTCTCTCTTCTATTTTTTTTTATCTTTTCAATGCGAACATACAAGTCAAAGAGAATTTAGGTATTCAGTTTGAAGTTTCTGTGCTGGTATGATCAAAGAGAAAACGGCCAGACTGGAATCTGCGTTCTAGTTGACCCGTCTTGCAGAAAATGATACCGGCATTTGATGCGATGAGTTCAAATTAAAATGGGTACTTCCACTTTTTCGCTGAAAAAACAGCATAGCATGATGAAAAAAGACCACAAACTTAATAAAAACAAAGTTT